AGTAAGAACATGATAATTAAAGGGTTATGTTTATAACTAATAACTTTAATAAAGTTGTATGGTTATTATATATAAAGGAGACGAAAACTGCAAAATATGATTCCTATAGAATATGGTTCATTTTGAGGAATAAAACTGCTAGACCAAATATGAAGGTTTTAAAAAAAATTATTATAAACAAAATAAAATGCAATGTATATATCAATAATCTGAAGTTTAGCTTTAGCCCAGGAAAAGGAAAAACAGATGAAGTATTTATTGTTATTGTTAAAAAGATAATAATGCGAAAGACATTTTGAAGAAAAAATAGAAAATATTTTGACCGAGTATAAAAGAGGTGGCATATTTGTGATATTTAGGTGTTTAAGAATGTAACTACTGTGACTAGTTTTCGCGATATGATTTAACCTTTTGCAGTTGTAACACACTAACGAAAATTTGTTGTTGATTTCGAAAAACAGCGCCAACAGCTTCATCTACGCATACACGATTCAAAGCAGCTCTTACTTTGGGTAACATAACATCAATTGGATCCATAACAGCTCGAAATCTTGATGATAAATCTTCGGGCAATCCAACAACAAATGCTAATCGAACAGACTCTTCTGACAATTTAGCAAGATAAGCCAATCTTTGTAAGTCGGCAAAAAACACATCAACTTTCTCTCTAACAAATAATTTTCGTTTAACAAAAAGTTCGTATGCCGCATAAGCATCTAAAGAGAATGCTGCTAACAAGACACGCTCAACTTCATCTTCGTCTTGCTTATTTTCAGCGTTTAAACCATCGTATACTAAATTCCTTACAGTTACATCGTATACAGTTCCTCCTAGAATATTTAGAAAGAGTGACTTCAACTTTACATTTTGCGTTTCTGCAATCACTTTAGTTAGCTGTATCCAAACGGCAGCGTCCAAAATTACATCAAACGCTTTAAACATATCCAACAATTTGGTATTCGAATCCATGCCCGGTTAGCTTGTAATTTTCTCGCTCGAAACAAAACTTCTTTTCTTTTCAAAAATTGGTATTGTGGTTTATCCTCCTCCGGCTAATTGCCATATAGAGGCCACATTACCAAGGCCCGCAAAGACAGGTTTGGCTCCGCAATGAGCGTCATAACCCGCTCTACGGACCAAGAGTAAAGTGAGTTTAGGAAGAACGAAGGTATGTTAGAGTGAAAGGCAGAAGTAGCCGTGTTAGAAAGATAGCATAAAGAAAGCGGACAGGATTGCACTCAATGTTAGGAGGTGCAATAGGTTGAAATAGGTTCTTTTTAAAAAGTTATTTATTAACTTGAATTCAACTCATCTTACAAAAGTTTTACATCCATTTATATAATATATCTACTCACAAAATCAACATTATAAAAACCGCCTAATACGTAACTACAATTAAAATAATTAAAAACTATTAGTAAAAGAAACCACGTAATTGCCGTAGAATGTTCTAGAACTTTCTCATCTTTATATACACAAATACTACGGATTAAAAAAGAAATGTTAAAATTACTCAAAAGTTATCTATCTAACCGAAAACAGTTTGTTCTACTTACCAATGATTATTAAAGTACTTTTCTTAATATAACCTGTGGAGTCCCACAAGGTTCAATTCTTGGACCACCTTTTTTTTAAATTATATAAATAACTTAAATAAAGCCTCAAAACTAACAAGCATTGTGTATACAGATAACACAAACTTATTCCTTTCTAACTACGATATCGCTAAACATTTTAAAACAGTGAATGAAAGAACTGAGACGTTTATAAAACAAAATAGTTTTTATTCCATACGTTTACATAAAAGCAACTTCTGATATCAAAGTTACTTAAAATCTTTATTGATCAAAAAGAAATAAAAAGAGATTTTGTTACAAAATATTTAGGCGTTTATCCTAGCAGTTTTCCAAGATCTTCTTACTTTTAAACCAATTAGTAAATAATTAGTAACAACTTTTTAAATTTAAAATGTTTAAATGAACCTTTTTGTCAAAAAACTTTAATTAATTTTGTATTACCTATTAGGCGCCACACGTTCGGAATAAAATTATTAATAGTAAAAATTATATCCAAATCGTGTTACCTTTTTTGAACAAACAAAAGTATATATTTTAAGTCTGAATCAGATGAATACAGAATATTGCGAATGAAAATATGTCAATAACTCAACGGACAAAAGCAGTACAAGCGGTGTTGTTGAAGACTGCAGAACTCCGTACAATATTGAATAGTCTTCAGAGTGAAAAGACTATTGCTGCACAAACAAGAGCACAAATTAAAGGTTTATTATCTCAGCTTTTATCAGAAAAACACCTTTTGAACTGCAAAGTACTTGGAATTTTTTTCTATTCTAGAGATTTTATCAAAGCAGTTACAAGAAATTATTCTGACAGGTGATGTCACAGCATTCTGCATTCGAAATGCGTCTCAGAGATTTGCAGAACTTAGATCAGATAAGGAATTTAAGAGGCTTTTAAAGGCGACAAAAAAAGTACCTGGAATCAAGCAAAACAATGAGTCTCAAACCGAAGTTACGCAGAGACAAAGAGTAATACATAAAACATTACGTGATTCAGTAATTACTGAGAAGCTTACATAGGGTGGTCTAATGACTGGTCCTGTTAAATTAGAGCAAAAACAAAAGGAATTTATGTTATTCAGAACAGTTTAAGTGAGAGATTTGAACAGGATGGATTAACAGCTGTAAAAAATATAAAAGAAGTTTTGATTTCATCGATGGATGAAATCAAAATACAGAGTGTTTCCAGAGTGGCAAATATTGAAGATATTTTCAATGCAATGCCAGCTGGAATAGTTGCCAATAAACAAGCACACAAATTAATGAAGCTTTACTACACTATGCCTCTCTCAAAATCATCATGTGAAAAAAGCTTTAGTGTAATGAGGAGAGTAAAAACATGGGTTAGGTCACAAACTGGAAGCAATCACCTAAACAATATCATGTTTGCTCAGATACACAATGTTGTTGACACCACTCAAAATTACAAAACGAAAAAAGATAACTCATTTAAATCATG